GCGGTTCAGATCCTAAGGGTAATCACAGGATGTGGAGCACATGGAGTGGGCAAGTCAAAGCTAAAACAATCGGTATAGTTTTGTTTTGTTTTGCTTTGTTTTTTTTTCTTGTTTTCTTTTTGTTTTCTTTTTTTCCTCGCATCCATTTTCCTTCTATTTCATTCAAAAGAACTAAACATTTGAAGCTAGAGTGCAATTATAACAAACTGGCTGCAGTGAATTTTTTATTTCTGCATGCAAAGGGACCGTATCGGATTTTTTGGAACAGTGCACGTGGATAAAATGGACTCAGGTCATTTGCTAATGCAATGCGTTAAATCCTGACAGGGTGTTAACATGGTTGTTGGTGCTAACACGTGTCACTTCATTAATTTAGAAGACTTAAATTTTAATGTTTAGATTTTCCATAGGATCAGCTCAGTACGCATGAGGATTCCTTTGGAGTATGGATTTTAAGATAAATGCTTTGATGGGTTGAATTGACGTCATGCTTTTTGAGATGTTGAGCAATGACAAGGTCCTTCATCGGTGATCTAGGTTTTTATTTATTGAGAATTATAACATTATATTCACGCATATATAGTTGGAGAACGCGTACATATTAGACACGAGGTGAGTGGAGGGAAGATAACCTGGAGTATTTCCTGCGTGCAGGTCATCAGACTTCTGGAAAACGAAGGTATTGAGTGGAGCGAGGAGAATCGGGGAACCGTGCTTATCAAGCTACATGGACAGAGAGAGTTTAGCTTTCTGGATTCCATGAGCGACACCGAGTAAATTGCTCTAACGTGCTTTGCTCATCTATTCTTCCCTTGAGAGTTCAAGGAAGTGAGATAATTGCCTGGATGGGCAATGTGATAATGGCATTTGCCCCGAAATGTTGTAAAATAGTCTATTAGTCTTTGTTTGCTATCGAGTCGCGTCGTTAAATGACTTACATAGAGTTGTTCCGTTGTAAACCCTAATGTAAACTGTAGTGCTCAAGGCCAGATCTCACGTCTGTACATGAACTCTTATTTATAGGAAGGTGTAATTCTTAGAAACGTCAATGGATACAGCGAGCATGTAACTCAACATGGTTACGTGATACTGACATTTACTGCTGTAAAATATATTTTATACATGGGCTATTATGTATCTCACTTTATATCCAATCCCTTCTTTCTTCGTTTCTTTTCTTGTTGGAATGTGCTATTACTAGATGATTTGTGTTCTTCTATTTTTCCCCCCAGGGTTCGTAAGTAGCATTTTTTTTCCCCCTCTCTTGGATATAAATAAATATAAATACATGTGGACTTGTTATTTTTTGCTGTTTAACAGAGATAAAGCTTAGAACTTTGAAATGTTTTACGCATCGACTTACCATTTACCGCCTTTTTTTTTTTTTTTTTTTTTTTTGGCTAAGAACGTGATTATTCACCGCGATTTAATAAAGATAAAACTTGAACTTTAAAACTTAAAAAAAAAAAAAAAATGAATGAAAGATTAAATTTGGTTTAGCAGCACTGGAATTTGGGTGTGGTAGATCTTTGAGAGGAGATTGTAGGTTTAATCTCGCCTTCTGATTTTTTTCTTCTTTTTTTTTTTTTTTAAAGGGAAGAATAACTTTTAATTCATTCTTTGAAAAGATGTTTTAATCATTTTTTTAAAATGCTAAAAAAAATATTGTTCCAAAATCCTAAAATAATATTAGAATAACTTCCAAATAATTCAAAAGGCGCGTACAGTAACTCATCCAGCTGCCAGCTGTATTATTTTTGTCCGAGGTTGGTGAGTAGATATTTTACCAAGATATTTTTTTTTAAGTTCCCCTTTTGGCAATATCGTGTGACTGATTCAGATATAAACTTCGGAAGTCACCGATTAGCAAAACAAAAAAAGGAAGGTTCGGCAGTCACCAGTTGTTTCCTCACAGACTGCTATTCCAATAACAACTCAAAATTTCTCAAACAATCTCCTCCGATTGGACCGTCATTTATTCTCTCGTCACAGACAAATATTATCACACATTCGTAACCGCCACCGGAGGTCGGTTGGTCAACAGAAAAGATCCAATAATATCTCTGTCTCAACCCCCAAAGCTATAAAACCCCAGATGTTTGGTTTTTTTTCATCCCTAGAATAAACGAAAAGAAAGGGCAATATATATATATATATATATGAGAGAGATAGAGGGAGAAAGTAGAGCGAGAGACACCTAGCCACCAAACGCAGAGAATACAGATATAAAATCATCTATATATATGAGCAGGCTTGAATCGCGGTGTTCCGCCATGGACGACGCCGTCAAGGTCGGCAAGAACGGGACCAAGCGTCGTCTTAAGGGAGGCGAAGAGGCGAAAAACGACGGAGAAGACGGCGACACGGAGGAGCAATGCGACCAGGAGGCTTGGGAGATTCTGAGCAGAGGATTCCGGCAGGCGCAGTCCGTGCTGGATCAGAACCGGGCCTTGATCCAGCAGGTGAACAACAACCACCTCTCCAGGGACTCAGAGAATCTCTCCAAGAACGGCGGATTGATCTGCGAGATTAACGGCAATATCTCGAAAGTCCTCTCGATTTACTCCGATTTGTCGGTCGGTTTCACGAGCATCGTTCACCAGCGCCCCAGGATCGCCGCCGAGGACGACGATGATGACAAGGAGAAGAAGAAGGCGGAGAATTGATGACGATTTTGAGCGATGCAAATTTCTCAGTAATTTCGTTCGCGTTTTTTGTTTTTAGCTTTATCCGTGATTTAATTATGTGTGTTGACTGAGGAAGGTATGATCTTAATTTGGTCCGGGTTCTTTGTTTCGGTATTTGTTGGTGTTTGTTTTAATTTGGTAATGGTCTAGTAAGTGGTGGGTAAGAATAAAGACTTCGTTTATGCTATGTTTTCTTTGTCTTGTAAGGATGAAGACCTTGGGATTGCTTATCTTCATTATTATCCGAACCCCCAGACGTGACAAGGTATTTATGTTCTGAATTTTCTTTTCTCGTCTTACTTTGATTTCCTTGCTTAAACAAGAGAAACAAAACTATTTGGTGCATTTTCTCATATATATATATATATATATATTTGAATTAGGAGAACTGGGTTCCTAAATCCCAAGTCAAAACCAAAAACACATGTACGAGATGATTCATTTCAATAGTGGGCGTCATTCTTTGTTTTGGTCTTTCTTTACGTTAATCAAAAATTGAGACTTTGATGTGTAGTAACTAATATAAAAGGAAATGCTGATCAGTCAGACGAGGTGTTGTCAAGGTATTTTTGACATTTTCTTGTGAATATAATAGAGCATGAAGAGGACAATTATGAAGATATAACATTGATGCATCATTTGACTTGCTTGGTTTCTGTTTTTTTGGGTTAGCATCAGAAGCAGGGCTTGTTGAAAAATCTTTCGAGAGGCTGTGATAGACATCTAGACGTCATGAGGAATGTAAGTTCAATGTATTTTTTTAGGTCTACAGGGCAAAAAAGCTACTTTTTTTTTTAGGTCCGTAGATGTTATTGGTAGCACTGGAATATAGATCAAGACATTCCGGCTTCCTTTGATGGTTGAGCTCATGCTGGCTTATTGTCCAACTTCTGTTTTGCTACATGTCACTAATCTAATATAATTGAACGCTCCCTTTCATGCTAATGCCGTAAATTTTGGCATATACAGCGAATCATGAAACGAGGAATTATTAAGAAGCATGCGCGATGAGCAGATAACATTCTTAGTTTTATTTTTTATTTTTTTATTTTATTTTTGTCGCAAGAATTCTTGCCAGTTTGGATGCGAAATTTGATACTTTCCTTCCAAACTTTTAACTGGTGTAGCGTTGGGAAGGAAGCTCTAATCCTAATTTTTTAATACCAACATACATGATATGGGAACAGTCATTTTATATTGATAGGTATTTAAAATTGTCACATCTATTTACATGAAAAAATTAAATCTATCATTAAAAAGATAACTCACTACCAAATTGGTAATAAAATCTAAGATTAAAATTGATATCATAAGCAATTTTCCTTCTAATAAGCTTTTCACTTCCAATTTTATTGAGGCAACCAGAATAGTTTTTTTTATTTTTATTTTTTACTTTTTGGCTTACAAGTGTGCCTCACATCTTTCCTATCACAAGCATCAACTACAAAAGCGGTTGATAGATCATTTGTTTCTTAACCATTCGTGTCTTTTTGGATCTGCGTAAAATAGCCAATTAAAATCTTGGTTACCGGACAACCACGTTATCATCCACCTCTCCATAGTGAATGATGGAAATGCGAGTCTTGTTTGAACGGTTTCCGTTTCACACATTAATTAAATGTAAATCTAGGAGAAACTCATAGGTGTATAACTGCGCCCATCACTGTTGCACCTTATTCTTATATTCGAAAACTCTAAATCCCGTTTTAACTTGCAAAATATGATCAACAAGCATGCGTCATATAACATCTAAGACAGTCTTGTACAGTAAGAACACTATGAAAATAATAAAACATGGACTCCACGTAGAGAAAAAGAGAGCATTTAGAGAGAAAGTTCCCCACTGTCAGCGATCACAACTTTGCTCTTGGGTGTGCCACTTTGCCTGCCTTCAGCTTCAATCTTGTAAACAACATCCATTCCAGATAGCACCTTTCCAAATACAACATGTCTGCCGTCCAACCTGTATAGATTAAAGAATCAATCAGAGAGCTTAAGGCTTAACTATACCTTACAAGTGGTTTGCGGTTTGACACAACTCTGCTTCAAAAGGTCCAAGCTATAAAAGCAAATTTGTCGATCAATATATCTATAGTAGTGATGCCTAGCCCATAGATGGATAATCCAACAAAGACATTTGAAAAGATCAAAAGAATTTTCAGGATTTTGCACAGAAAACACTATTAAACAGCAGAAGATATTGTTTCAAATTACCAGCTAGTTGTCACAGTTGTGATGAAGAATTGTGAGCCATTGGTGTCCTGACCAGCATTTGCCATTGACAGAAGCCCTGTACAAAAGAAACAACAATCATATTCATTTTTTAGCACAATATTACCTGTATGATCAAAGAGAACGGTAGCCCGAAATGGATTTGCGGCTGATGCAGTGGTGATGGTGGGGCATTGATCCTACCTGGGCCAGTGTGCTTCAGCTTGAAGTTCTCATCAGCGAACTTCTCTCCATAGATTGACTCTCCGCCTCTACCATCACCAAGCGTAAAATCACCTCCCTGAAGCATGAAGCTTGGAATAATCCTGTGAAATTGGCTGCCTTTGTAATGGAGAGGCTTCCCACTCTTCCCAATGCCTTTCTCCCCTGAATGATTTGGAAAATAAAAAGGGTAAGCAAATCTTAACATAACTTCTAAGTTAGAATTTCTTTGGTGTTAATACTATACGAGATTAGATCATTTTGTTAACAATTCCTTCCACTTATAAACTCATCTTTTGCACCTATATCGGTACAACTCTAAATTGCAAATCAAAATGAAAGAAAATTTAATAATCACACTTGCTGGTGGCTTTCAGAGAGAGAGAGAGAGAAGTTGGTGAAGCATTAGTTACCTGTGCAAAGTGCTCGAAAATTCTCTGCAATGATAAAGGACTAACTCAATAATCTGTTGTAGAAATAGCTACTGGTAATAGTATATACAAATCCGCCATTAACTCGATATAAATACAAAACCAATGACCCATACCTGCGGTCTTAGGAACCGTCTTTCCAAAAAGACCCATGACAATACGACCTGAAACCCACCAATTAAAAGAGAATGAATCAGCTTATAAAAGCTGAGATTTGCTCATAAAATTCTAGTTCAGCATCTAAAATTCTAAACCCAATAAATCAGATTTTGTTCTTGGAATTGAATTTTTAGTTACCAGCTGGTTTTCCATCAATCTCAACGTCAAAGTAAACCTTGTGGGTCACTTCCTTCAGATCCTCCTTCGACTTCTTTGCCTGAAAACGAAACCCATTTTTCATCAGCATCAAAATTAATAAAATCTGTGATCAGTTCTTTCACAGATCAAGGCTCGCCAAAAACGTAAATTTAAAAAAAAAATGAAAATGAAAAAACTAAAAACCTAGAATATGGGAAGGTTATGAGATCAAACGGTGAAGATTTGGGGCCAATTGATTTACCTGGGTGAGGGCTAGGGTTCCGAGGAGGAACAGAGTACACACGAGAAACGACGCCGTTCTGGCCATGTTTCTGCTTCTGCAAGGTCTCTACTCACTTTCAGATTCGCAGTTAAAGTTGTTGATTGGCACAATGGAAGGAGATTTTCTTTTCTTTATACGAGTTGCACAGTGTAGAATGTCGTGTACGTAACCAATAGATGTCTGACACGTGGATCCAGCGTTGGGCATTTTCCATAACTCGAGCGCATAAATTGCGGGCTACATCTGGGCTTGCTATCTATGACTGGGCCTCTTCTGTGTCTCCAAAGTCCACAGTCCATTATAGTTGGTTTGGGGGAACTCAAGGCATCAATTATGGATGGTATTTGGTTAACAATGTTAACAAGTAGATATTTTAGTGAATGTTTGGTTCATGAATTTAGAATTATTCTCAGTTTATGTGTATTTTTTATGAGAAAAAATACTGTTGTGAGCCACGAACTATGATTCGAATCATGATACGAATCCTCATACTAAACACGCTTTAAACTTCAGATAGAGCTGTAAATTTAGGTTAAGTTAAACGAATCGGTCTGAGACTTGTTATTATCATGTTGGACCTGAAATTTTTTTATTTAAGACTGGATTAGGCTGACACGCTTTCTTTTAGGATCAGACCGGTCTGATCCAAACATCATAAATTAAATATCTTTTTGTAAAAATACTTTATAAAATTTCAGGTCGGGTTAAGTCCAGACTGGCCCTAAACATTTTGAGTTTAGGATCGGGCTGGGCTACTCTCTCTCTTTTAAGGACGGGCCGGGTTGGCTTAAAATTTCCCTTCAGGCTACCAGACTAAGCGACTCAAACTTACACATGTAACTCAAGACAACCTTAATCGCATTGGTTAACAATGTTTTAATCTATTTAAATAACGTTACAACATTTTAATTGAATTTCAATAAAAAAAATATGTTATATTTATTAGAGTGGAATGAAATATAATAAAATAAGTTACATAATTAATAATTATTATAATGAAATTCCTTTATTTGTAAAATAATTTAAAATTTTCCGTTAACTTTTGACAAGACTATTAAGATTATAATGACAATGAGTGCTTAATTCATTCAATACAAGTTTTCTTCAAGTCCGACCGAAAAACTTCCATCAAGTTATCATTTTAATATTCACCTTGTTGATTATTTGTCTATGTTAAACATGGACATGTTTTTTATTCAGCAAAAAAAAAAAAAAAAAAAAAAAAAAGGTCATGTTTGAAGTTTGGTCGACAGATTCATGCTAATCCATCCTCCCTTTCTTTTCAAAAGCTCGGTTTCTTTTCAAAATATATTTCCTATTTCGCTCAAGAAATTTGAATCAAGATATTCCTTTTTTTTCGCTCAAGAAAAAAGGATATAGGCATATAGCAATATTTACTTCTTCAATAAATCAACTTCATTTTTGTTCACTCTTCTACCCTTTCATTTGTTTGAAGTAAAATTATTTCCAAACCATTTGGTCTAATGACAACAAGAGCGTCTGAGTGGGATGGGGTTTGGGAGAAATTGTGAGTTTAATCCTGCGTTGTATTGAAAAAAGAAAAATCATATCCAAATTAGTTCCTCGAATGAATAAGAGGCATATCATTTTTAAAGAATTAGTATTTAAATATACCCGTTTTTGAAAAAATTGGAAGCTTGATTTACACATAAAAATAATAAATAGCTAAACTTCAACATAGAATTCCCTGGATTATATATCTTAAACGGAATACCACTTTTTAGTTATTCACTCCTATTTATTTTTATTCTTTACAAAATAATCCCTCTATTATGGTGCATAAGACACAACTAAAGTTGTTACGAGACGCACTTTTTCTCTTATGACAATAGTAACACTCAATATTTTTCTTTAATCATGATTAGAAACGATCATTTCTCTTATCATAACATCTCACTCGTGACTTATTCCTATCCCTATTCAAATCTGACTTTGTCACTAAAACTTATTCGGTCTAAGATGTACTACTTGGATTCTTCATATTTGCAGTCTCTAACAGAGCAGTCGACACCTCATCCACAGTCAACATCGTCTTTCCAACTAAGAGTGTAGTCACCAAAATCTCATACGATTTGGATAGGGAGGCCAACAAAAGTACCGCTTTATCTTCCTCATCAAATTTTGACCTCTACACTTAATAATTGTGTTATGTACTTATTAAAATTATTTATATGGCCCCTAATATCACTTTTCTCATCTATCTTCAACTCATACAATTACTTCTTCAAATACAATCTATTTATTAGGGATTTTGACATATAAATTTTTTTTATTTTTTTTCATAACTTAAAATGAGATGTCTCATTCATAACAATATATTTCAGTTCATGAGCAAAACTTAAACGAATAGTGTTTACCGCTCTCGCTTCCAATTCCTCCCAATCTTCATCTTTTTTGGCTTCCTCCTTGTAGCGCTTTTAGTAATCCCTGCTGAATTAAAACATATTTCACCGTACTTTGTTAGATGTTAAAATTACACTTTCCATCAAACCGCTCAACCTGCTAAAACTTTATCCCGGACATCATCTTAGCTTTTTTTTTTTTTTTTTTAAATCTTCACCACAACTCTGATACCAGTTGTTAGGAAAGAACCTACCCCTACACCTAAGCAGCAGAAAAATAAACTGAAACAAAAGTAACAGAAAAATAGAGAAGATAAATATTTAGGTGGTTCGCAAAAATTTCTTACGTTAACGGAAGATGGAGAAAAATTCACTAACAGTTTTGAGAATTACACTCAATGAACTTTCTCACTTTCTCTCTCTACTCAAAACCCCTTACACCTTTTGTCTACATCTCTCCTCACTTTTCTCTATTTTTCTCAAAAGCAAGCACTCTTTCTTTACATTTTTCTCTGAACACACGTTTCTTTGAGCACACATAAAACTTTATACAAAACCCTTATTTATGGACTCTTAATAAACTATAAAATAACCCTTGTCTAAAAATTTAAAAAAAAAATAGTAACTTAAAATGAACACGTAATAATAACTTTTTCAAAACTAATTTAAAGTACTTATCCAGCAAAAACAAGCCATTTTTAGGCTGCGATTTCTGCCTATAATTGAACAACTTTTCTTCAGTGTAAAAACACACATTAAAGTGTTCACATACTGAAACTAATGCAGAGTACAATTTTTACTTACTTTTGTTTTATCCTTTTATGCTTGATAACAAAAATTACATGTCACCAATGCCCCTTTTCATTACAAGGTAATGAGCTAATCAGTTGCATCTAAGGTAGCATAGAGATACCAATTGCCCTAACTGAAAATTTTCTTTCACTCATGTGGACGTGTATGTGTGCCTTTTGAGTGTGTGTATTATTACTGTTCATATAAGCAAAAGCTAAGCCTAAGAGGTTGTTTTTCCCCCCCTTTTTATGTGAGCAAGAACTAAGCCCAAAAGAGCTTTTAGAGGTTGAGCTTTGATCTCAATTACTATATATTACTCTACTTAAAAAAAAAAAAACAAAAAACAAAACAAAACAAAAACTAATACTATGTTGCTGGGAAAGAGAAATTCGATACTTTTACAAATTTATAAGGATCGTAAAATGGATCATTTACAAAAGTGACTCTTTACTAAATGCAACCAGAAAAATAATAATTAGAAAGAAAGAACTACAAAAAAAGGTCTTTTGTTTGAATGAAAAAATAACAATAATAATCAATCGATTAAGAATATTTATGATAAAACATGTAGGGCTGTAAGAAATCACCCCGAACCCGACGAACCCGGCCGGGCCGAGCCGACCCTACTCGAAAATTATTGGTTTCTAATTTTTTATTTAATTTTCGGTTTTAATTATGTCTAACCCGCACTGCGCAGGTAGGGGTGCGGGGTGGGGTTACATGAACCCGAGGTAACCCTACCCGGCCGAACATGTTCAAAGTAGGTAAAATAATGTCCAACACTTCAAATTCTTACTTTCATAAGTTTATGGACTTTATGCATTTAAACTGTTAACTTATTTATGTTTTGGATTCACAGTTTGTGTAAAAAATGCTTGTATGCCATAGTTGTTGAATTAGGACATTCTTTATTTATATTGGAAGTGTTTGATTTCAAAGTGAGTGTTTTAATTGTTCACCTTGCATTTAGACCCCCTCTTGAAGGAAAGACATGTTCTGTTTGATAATGATTTCTTCTGTAACAAGCACAGAGTAATTGACTAAAAAGTGATCATGTGGTCTTTGAGATCACCAACCCGAGTAACCAGAGTAACCCGACCCTACCCGAGGTCACCCGAAAGGTTGCGGGTTTGTAGACTTAAGAGAGTGTCGCGACCTAAAATTTTTTCAACCCGCACTAATCGGGTAGGCTCAATTTTTCGGCTCAACCCTACCCTACCCTACCCGGCCGATTTACACCCCTAAAAACATGTATAATAATTAAAAAAATTAATCATAAAAATACATTTTTCACCGGTGAAACAGGATAGTTTGTGTCTCTGTAGCCTATTACTTTGAGTCCACGTTACCAAACTAGTAGTGGAGTACAAGTGTCAGCGTTGGCTTGCGAAGTAGTCAGTAGAACTATAAAATCAAGCTTCTTGGAACTTGCTCATACGGAGAGAGAATATACTTCCACGTGGACGAAGCCAATGATACCAGTGGGTCCCAAGCGCATAGAAATCGGCTTAGAAAACCGTAATTCCGCTAAACATGGACGACTCACTCACTCAGTGCGTCACTGACTCACCGTCTTCCACTATCACCACCACCACCGCCACCATCTCTGCTCCGCCATGGTCATGCCGAAGAAGAAGAGAAACATGCCCCGACCGCCGCCCCATCTCCTTCCCTGCGTTGCCGGACTCGCCTTCCTCTCCCTTGCCGTTCTCGTCCTCTACAAGGTCTCTCGGAATTCCACAAATCTCCTCTTCACTCCCAACATTTCACCATTTTTTTCCCTTCAGTTCTGACTCTCATGGAAATTTCATCGAACAGGTGGACGACATCGCCGCCCAGACCAAGACCGTCGCCGGAGACAACCTGGACCCGACGCCATGGCACCTCTTCCCGCCGAAGACCTTCTCCGGCGAGACTCGCCACTCTCGGCTCTACAAGATCCTCCACTGCTCCTACCTCGCTTGCAGCCACTCCGCCTACAAATACAATCCCTCCGTAAAACGCCGTCGTTCCGACCCCGATTCTGCTGCTCGCAAATGCCCCGAGTTCTTCCGGTGGATCCACCAAGATCTCGAGCCATGGGCCCGGACCGGAATTTCCGCCGGTCACTTGGAGGAGGCCCGGGAATTCGCTGCTTTCCGTGCGGTGATCGTCGGAGGGAGACTGTTCGTTGATCTGTACTATGCTTGTGTGCAGAGCCGGACCATGTTCACGATCTGGGGTTTGTTGCAGCTGCTCAGGAGGTACCCTGGAATGGTTCCTGATGTTGATATGGTGTTTGATTGTATGGACAAGCCGAGTATTAACGGGACCGAGCATGGTTCGTTTCCTTTGCCTCTCTTCCGGTATTGCACCACCCAGGCTCACTTTGACATTCCTTTTCCTGATTGGTCCTTCTGGGGTTGGTGAGACTCCTTCTTTTCTTTTATATTCCTTCTTTTCTGGAGAAAGTTTCATGTTTGGTCTACAGCACTTAGTTCATATTCTTATTCTGTAGTTGGTGGTACAAAGTACGTAGAATTTGCAATGTTTCAGATGATATAAATTAATTTATTTTATTCATGTCACATGCTTGTGTTATATTGCAAGTGTCTACCATATTTGATGTGCTAGTCTGACAATCAATTATAGAGCTTTGCTATATGTTTAATTAATTTGATTTTGTTAATCTTATCAGCTTATATAAGGGATGGGTGTAACAAGCTGTTGGCTGTGGTTTCACCGTGAATTACAAATTTTTTTTCTTAACTTCGTCAATAGTCTCACTTGTGTCCCGATCTTTTGATTTTGAATGTGTCAACGACAAACCTTAAACTTGACAGAAGTGATAACATTAGTCCTTCGATTTGTTTTTTGTTCAAAACACGCAACACGTAATTGTGAGTGAGATTCTTAATATTACAAGTGCTCTCAAGTTCAAAGGTGTCGTTGGCACATTTGGAAAGTCCTGATAGTAGTGGCAAAATTAATCGGGGGGGATTTTTGTAATTCGTCCCATGTATTTGTTAACATGAAAGTATCTTTGTTAACCACTTGATGGGCCTGGCTGAAATTTGATGAGTACGGACTGTTGTTGTTGTTGTTGTTGTCATGGAATACGATCCTTGTGCAGGCCAGAGACGAATCTGAATCCATGGGATGAGGAGTTTAGAGACATCAAACGTGGTTCTGAAAGAACGAGTTGGACGAAGAAGCACCCCCGGGCATACTGGAAAGGAAATCCAGACGTTGATTCCCCTGTCCGTACAGAGTTACTAAACTGTAACCACTCTAGGACGTGGGGAGCGCAGATTTGGCGTCAGGTTAACATAATATTTTTATGACTTGTTCCATTGAAGATACGCTTTTTAATACCTTTTAAAAGAGTAATTCCCTGATGTCTTCCTCTTTAATATGAAACAGGATTGGACAGAGGAAGCAAAAGGTGGTTATGAAAAGTCCAGACTATCTAATCAGTGTAACAATCGGTGAGTATATATACTTCCTCTTAGTTTTTGTCTTTGAGAAGTGCTTTTGTATGCTTTTTCTAGTTCAAGACTTCCAAGTCTTGAGGCTCAAAAATGTCTTTCATGAGACATGCAAGTATTCTGCACTAGTAAGTTGTAACTATAAATTTCTTTGCATTATTCCCTCTTTCTCCATTTGTAGGTATAAAATCTACGCTGAAGGCTATGCTTGGTCTGTGAGCCTGAAATACATACTGTCCTGTGGTTCTCTTGCACTAATAATTTCCCCACAATATGAAGATTTTTTCATCCGGGGTCTCATTCCCATGAAAAATTACTGGCCCATCTCCTCAACTGATTTATGCCCGTCCATAAAATACGGTGTTGAGTGGGGCAATGCTCACCCATCTGAGGTACGGCTCCTTTTATTTTCTGGTATCAAGCTAACCTATAAATGTTGACTTTCACAAGCAGTCCTGATGCCACCAAAACTTGCATGTTAATTAATCGAATGCCTACTGTTATTCATCTTTTCTTGAATTTGAGTTGAACTACAGTATTAGCAATACAAGAAACTATGTTGAGTTATAATAGTGTATTACCAGTGATCTTATATTTTCAAGCAAATATGTAAGAAACTATGTTTAGCAACAGTTGCTAGTGGGGGTTTATCTTTAAAGAAGAGCGTAACTAAGAAAGCCTTTCCATTTAGGGCAAGACAGAATGAGCGGGCAGAGCAGGCTGGTGTCCAAGCCAATTGGTCAGACAATGACGCGACTACACTTAGTAGATTTTAGTATTAGCAAAGCTTAGTGGTAATCAATATTCCAACTTGTTGAATTTCTCAACTGTTAACAACAGAAACTGGTACCACAATTCGCTCACGTTGCTGCAATTTTCCACCACCAGGGGGAAAAAAAAATGGTAGGAACAATGACACGCTTATAATAAGTTATGAAGGATCGTGCCCACAAGAACATTTCCATGTCCGCCATATGGCTAACAAGGGGATATTCTGCATCTTTTTTTCTTTTCTTTTTTTTTTTATCAAATTAAGATTTTTCTCTGTTAACTTTTATATAAGTCAATGAACTAACTGCTGGGATTTTGTTTTCCCCGCTGACTAAACAGGCCAAGGCAATAGGAAAAGGAGGGCAGGAGTTTATGGAAAGCCTGAGCATGAACCGGGTCTACGACTACATGTTTCACCTCATCAATGAGTACTCAAAGCTACAGACGTTTAAGCCAGTCCGGCCATCTTCTGCGCTTGAAGTTTGCCCCGAATCCCTACTATGTCACGCTGATTCAAAACAGCGAAAACTACTCGAAAAATCAACTGCACACCCTTCTCCAAACCCCCCGTGCTCTCTCCAGCCGCCGGATAGTGATATCATCAAGAGTTGGGTACAACAAAGAAGAAAAACAATCAAGGATATAGAAGATATGAAGCTGAAAACACACACACACTAAAAGTTAAAAACATTTTATGTACAACTTTCTATTACACGTCGCTTTCTCATTAGTAAAATCGTTCTTTCATATGTATAGCACTACAAATACATAAGACTGTTGATACTAACTTAGGGTGAATTCAAATACATAAGACATTATGTGATGAAAACGGTTTTCAAGTATTTTGAGAAACAAAAAATGAAAATAAAAATGAAAAGACGTTTGTTTAGTAAATGTTTTGAAAACGAAAATGAAAATGAAAATAGTAAGAATGGTTTTTTTAGAAAGAATTATAAAACGTTTTTGTGAATGAATTAAAAAACAGTTAAAAGTTATTTTTATTTTTCTGTTTTCATTTTTTAGTTTTTATCAATAATATTATAATATATTAATTAATACACAATTTTATTTTTTATTATATTTAAAATAATTTTTTAAAAAATTAATCAAACACAATTTTAAAATCAATCTCAGAATAATTCTTAAAATAATTTTATTTTTATTTTTTATTAAAAATAAAATTATTTTAAAATTAATTTAAAACGCACCTCATATTTCTCTCAATTTAGTTTCCTATTTCGCTGGTCAAACAAAAGAACAACTATAATATGTGTTGATCATCTTCGTGTGTCATGGGTGGCGGCTGTTGCTTCTTGGAGCGCAAGTAAGTTGGAATCTCTTCTTTCAGAATAGGACACACAAAGCGATAAAATGAAAAATAAATTTTGCAACGAAACTTAAAAAAAAAAATTTAAACTCGAGTTACAACTTTATTTAAATTAATATTCTTTTATAAAATTTAAGTTTAAATTCGAGTTTGAGATTAAATTTAAGTTCAAGTTTTCCCTTCAATTCGAGTTCATAAACTCGAACTCAAGTTAATAAACAATATTTTTTTATTCTTAAAAATGTCATAAATTTTTTATTTTAATTCTGATTGAGATGATTTTTGTTCTATGCATTCACAACGAAAAGACGAATAAAACCCCACCCATATGCTCAATTAAATTTTTCATCACCGTTGAGTTTTTATTAAAATACTATCTAAATATAAATCTAAGTTTTGACCCACCTAAACACAAACTCAAAAAGATTTTCAATTTAAATTATAACTCAAATGTGCACATCTAAACACAAACTCAAGTTACAACTTCAACTCAAGTTACAACTTCAACTCAAGTTATAACTCAAACTCAACTTAAGATCATCACTTAACTCACCTTAACTCAAAAATGTAAAAGAACAAAGGTTTTCAAATTTAATATAATCTCCACTAATCAGAAAAAGTGTAAACAATGGTTGAGATAAATGGGACTAAAAAAGAAGAAAAAGGGTGGGAAAAAGAAAGTGACGGTAGTGATATGAGAAAGGAAAGTTATCATCACAAGTTCAAAACCTCTTGTTTATATGGTCATCCTTACCCACGGCCACCCACTATCCAGAAAGTGAAACAAAAAGAGAATCCTCGAGCTTTGGCTCTTTGGATGGCCAATAGAGAAACGTGTGGAAGCCTAGTGGCTTTTAGATTATGGCATTAGGACTAAAATCTACATACAAATACAATGAGCTATTTCTTTTATTTTTCTTTTCTTTTTTTTTTGTTTGTCCATAATTTTTATAATTTTTTGACGAAGATTTGTGTGGAAACCAGCGGAAATCATGAACGAGCGGCCTTCCTCACTCCTTCCTTGATTCTCCTATCTCCAATCTCAGTACATTTGCCATTATTTGTTGATTTTCCTAAACAAACAAAATAATAGTAACAAATTATGGCATTTTGTTGATTCTTTATTTCTTTTATCTCGTGTCATGAATGATGAATTTGGCACCTAAATTCAGACCTCGTTCATTTCGTTAATTTGAGTTTAGAATTTGAGTTTTGTTAGAGTAAAAAGCTCTCACAAATAATTACTTTTAACTTTTTTACTATAGTAAAAAGCTCTCACATAAAATCACATCTCAACTCAAATTAAAAACTCGAATCAACAAACTAAACAGACTCTTTATCTCTGAAAGAGTGGTGACGTGTTTGACTTCCTCTTACGCTTGCTTGGACTTCTTTTTTGTTTTCTTTTTTAAAAAAAATAAAATATTTATAAAATCACTGGCAAGTAGGCAGCAGCCTCATCAAAGAGTAGAAGTAGAACCCGTTTTGCTCAAAAGGAATTTTTTATTTTAAAAATCATGTTAGAAAAGAAAAAAAAAGCGCGTAGTCTTAAGTTTTTTTTAAGAGACGTTTAGTTCATATATTAAAATTATGAGATTAAAATTATTTTTAATTTATATGTATTTTATGTAAAAAAAATATTGTAATAAATTATAAATTATAATTTAAATTAGGATACGTCCAAACAATCTTTAGGGTTTGTTTGGTAGAGAGATTCGTTTCCTGATTCAAATCATAATTTATAATTTGTTATAGTATTTTTTCTCATAAAAAATTCACGTAAATTAAAAATAATTTAAATCACATAATTTAAATCTTCCAACCAAACGTACTCAATATTTATGATCTTAACCTTGATAAAAAGGTAATTCTTCGGAGGCAGTGTCTCAGAAAACACTTACATTGAAAATAGTAATAACGATGTGGTTATCGAGACAATGACGATAGCAAAAAACAATACTATTTTGGAAAATGTAGCAAATGGCAAAAACAAAAAGTTTCGCAATTAAAGTAAAACCGTAAAAATGATAATAAAGGAAAATCTAAATTCACTAAAAACAGCAAAACACCTGCTAATTATCTATTACCTTCATATTAATGTTTTTTTGACAGAAAATCGTCAGATTATTGTGGATGCGTAAGTTTAGGCCGTCTAGTCAATTCTGCCAAACTTAATATTAAAGAAAAGAAAATTGGTTTAACCCGATTCTAAATTTAAAAAATTTAAGACCAAATCCCAACTAACAATAATGAGTCTCGAGTCGATCCGTTTAGCCTAACACCTTATTTAGTTTAGATAACTATTTACTTTTAGAATTTTTCAAAAATATTTTTAAGAGGTTTATTGAGGGAGTATTTTATCTTTGGAGTAAGACAAAAAAAATCTATATATGTAAATCAAACCTAATCTGAGTAAAAATAAAAAAATAAAAAAACTAATAGATAAATTGACGTATTAAGTCATTAAACCACGGCCGAAAAAATCTACACCTTCCATTCAGGCGACAACATCTAGTGGGATCCTTTTTTATAATTTTTGTTTCTCTCTTTGCCCTTTTATATAATAATTATCATTATTTTATTTAGAGATTTCTTCTTTTTTATATTATTTATTTATTGCTAAAAGATTGAACAAAGAGAGCCACCAGTAAATCCCTAGCCACTTATATACACCACTGAATCTCCACCACCTTTCCCTAATTCTCTCCTCCTCCTCCTTCTTCGTCTCCTATCTGAATCCCCATCTCTCTCTCTCTCTCTCTTATCTCTGTAATTGCCATTTTCATCTTTTCCTTCTTCATCTTTCTCTCTCCCAAATGGCCGACACCGGAGTAGTCACCGTCTACGGCAACGGCGCCATATACGAGACGGCGAAGAAGTCCCCATTCTCGGTGAAGGTGGGCCTGGCCCAGATGCTCCGCGGCGGCGTCATAATGGACGTGGTCAACGCCGAGCAGGCCCGCGTGGCGGAGGAGGCCGGGGCATGCGCCGTCATGGCCCTGGAGCGCGTCCCGGCCGACATCCGGGCCCAAGGCGGCGTGGCCCGCATGAGCGACCCACAGCTGATCAAGGAAATCAAGCAGGCCGTGACCATCCCCGTCATGGCCAAGGCCCGCATCGGCCACTTCGTGGAGGCCCAGATCCTCGAGGCCATCGGCATCGACTACGTCGACGAGAGCGAGGTCCTGACCGTCGCCGACGAGGAGAACCACATCAACAAGCACAACTTCCGGATCCCCTTCGTCTGCGGCTGCCGCAACCTCGGCGAGGCCCTCCGCCGCATCCGCGAGGGCGCTGCCATGATTCGCACCAAGGGCGAGGCCGGCACCGGCAACGTCATCGAGGCCGTGCGCCACGTCAGGTCCGTCATGGGCGACATCAGAGTCCTCCGGAACATGGACGACGACGAGGTCTTCTCCTTCGCCAAGAAGATTGCCGCCCCCTACGACCTCGTCATGCAGACCAAGCAGCTCGGAAGGCTCCCCGTCGTCCAGTTCGCCGCCGGAGGAGTCGCCACGCCGGCCGATGCCGCGCTGATGATGCAGCTCGGCTGCGACGGCGTCTTCGTCGGCTCGGGGGTTTTCAAGAGCGGCGACCCGGCACGGCGGGCCAGGGCCATCGTCCAGGCCGTCACGCACTACAGCGACCCAGATGTTCTCGCTGACGTCAGCTGTGGATTGGGAGAAGCCATGGTTGGCATCAATCTCAACGACGAGAAGGTCGAGAGGTATGCCAATCGCTCCGAGTGAGCAAAGATGATGGGGAAGGGAATGAAGTTTAATGGCGAATTTATATTGGTGAGGCCCGAGAGGAAAAGGGTCTGGAAGGGAAAAAAGATTATATGAAATTTGGCCATGTGCTGCTGATATAATCATACTTTTTTTGCTCTATTAGATTGTTCTCTTTTAGCTCCAACGTCTAGTGTTGGGCGTTGTTGTTTTTTTTTTTTTTTTCACTTGTTTTGTTTCTCCAATTCTCATAATCATAGACCATAGATGTTATTAGTTTTATGTAATTCTTGAATTTGTTGGCCATTAAAGCATGGGGTTTTCCTATTTAGCTTTATACATTGCAATATGTTTGCAACAACAAACAGTATAAGTTGGTATTGAATTAATAGCAATTCTGTTCTGCCAAAGGTACTGGTATTTATATAGGATATACTAATATGTCCAGAGCATCTAGTGTAGAATATAATATTGTATGCCATGGAATCTTAGATTTTGGTGACTGCAAGCTGTGTTTTCATGTTTTTGTTTGGGGGCTTTAAGCTGATTTAGCTGTTTTACTATTTGAGACAAACTGAATGAAAATTCCTGTTGGTTGCCAACAGGCATATTTAAACCTCGGCAACTTTCTTGTTAGGGTGTTTTATCAACTTTCTGTTCAAACGTATGAGTTTACTGAAGTTGTCCCTTTATTTTGTTTTTCTTTTGTTTTTTCATCCCATGAAATTTATCCTTCCATCAGTTCATAATCTGTGTGACATTTTCTTTTTCCCTTTATCTAATTGAATCGAGTGGGGATTCTGTTCGGTGATTATATCTCATAAACTACCTCAAGATATGAGATATACAGTTCCATTTGGATCATACATCCAATCTGAATGAGAATGAGATGTCCATAGATTTGCCTCTTTCTCATGTTGATTTCTAAGAATATGTGATGTTTCTGTTCCATGTGATGTGAGAATGCCAATGACCCTTACTGGATTTTAGAATGTATTAGCGCTACCATTCTTCTACCAATACAACTCCTTTTCAGATTGTGTATGGGAAGAGAGCCTCCATCGCTGCATTCCTTTGTTCTCGGAGAAACTAAACTTGCTGATCTTGAAGAGCAACTCCACCTTTGTTTACTGGCTTTGGATTGTCCATAGATAGTAGTAATATGGGCATTAGCCATTACTTTAGCCACAAAAAATAGTTCGGCGTTTGAGACACTGGCCTACCAAATAAGGTTTGCCTTGCAGTGGATTAAGCTATGGACCTCTTCAATGTATGTATACTCTGTGCTATATATCTGTACATTGGGAATTTAAAAAAATAATAAAAAAAAAGTTGTATCTACTGTATTTGAGAAATGATCAATATAATTTACATCCTGCTGATTGAATGTGCACAATTGTGGTATATTGGGAGTTCTTTTTTTTTTATGGGTAGTTTCCAGTAGTGCAGCTTGAATTTTTCGACATTTGCAAGTTGGATTCCAAACTTTGAATGTTGTAATTTATGTTCGTAAATTTGACAATTGTTAGAAATACAGTTTAACAGACCACAATTAGGGTTTTAAATGTCAAAATTTAAAAGCTCACGTCTAATATTTATCAACCAACAAGTAGTTTGGGTTATATTTCTTGGAAAAACACGCGGTTTTCCATTCTGCCCTCTAATTAAATTTTAGACCACTTTTTAGTTCAAAGTTCAAGTTGTCAAAAATTTATCGAGGGTGCACCAGCTAAAAAACATTGGGAGAAAAGGAAAAATAGGTCAAGACTTGAGATAAATTAAAATTAATAGGTCAATAGTTTACATAAGTTAATAAATAGGCTAAATTACTGTTTTTGTCCATAACTTGTCTGGTTATGAACCATAGCTTGACAAGTTATTTATTATTTTTGTCCATAACTTGTCTGGCTATGAACCAGAACTTGACAAGTTTGTTCATAACTTATCTGGTTATGAACCATAACTTGACAAGTTATAACATACTAATTTCTATAACTAAAAATTGGCATATATACTTTTTTAAACTTTTCATATTGACCTATTTTCTACTATTTCCGAAAAAAAATTTTAAAAAAATTCTCATTTTTCCCTTTTGCCAAAATGAGGATATTACACCCTGAGAATACTTAACCCATTACAATGGCAAATTTTCATATCTTTAAGTCGAAGTTTAGCAAAATTTTCAGCTTATTATAAATATAATGAAAATAACATAATCATTACCATAATAATTAAGGGTGTGCAACAAACCATTCAAACTATTCAAACCAACCAAACTAAACTAATTAATAATTAGTTGTTTGGTTTAAATTTTTTTAAAAACCAATTAAATTGGTCTAGTTTGTGGTTTTACCCTTAAAAAAACCAAATCAAACCAAACCAAACTAATTTCTATCTATATAATTTTGTAAAAATTACATATATTTCATATATCTATGACTTATTCGTATTTAAAAAATCGTTTATTCTAAAATTAAATGATCATAACCCTAAAAGTTTCTACCATAACCTATAGATATACGGTACTAATATTGTTTCTACGGTCTATTCTCAATCTCTCTCTGCTCCTCTCCTAAAAGTTTCTATCATAACCTGTATATACGGTACTAGCACTGTCTCCACGGTCTATCCTCAACCTCTCTCCGCTCCTCTCCTATCTTCTCATTCTCCACTCCTCTAGGCTCTAATCGTGATTATTTCTAAAGTCTTACCTCTTTGTTAATGTGAATATAGCCTTTGTATTAATAAGTGTCTATGACTTGTCTATATTTTGTTTTCTTTCGTATATTTAAAATATTGAATATTATATGCAATCATGAGTCACAACTAATATTATATAAATATATCTATAATTAAATTGCTTTTACCTTATTTTGTCTTTAGAAGATAGAGAGAAAGAGACAGAAGAACACACAAAATATTAATACAAGCTATGATTGAGACTTGAGAAGATATTGTAAAATATTTGTTCAAACTAAGTAGAAAAACCAAACCAAATGAAACCAATTACGATCAGTTTGGTTTGAATTAGATCCCTTAATTAGTTTGGTTTAGTTTAAAAAATCTCTAAAGCAATTTATAATTGATTTGGTTTACATTTTACGGTTTGGTTGGTTTATACTCTCCTAACAATGATGTCACTTTTTGTACTATATAATGAGATTATTTTAATGATATTAAATTTCATTACTCTTGTAATATTTTAAAAATTTTGCTACATTTAAAACTATACTAAGTTTGCCATGTGTAAAGAGCCCTAACCCAAAACTGTTCCAAGTCGCCAGGCCTGACTTATTTGGGTACAATATATTGTTGGGCCCGATAGTAATGATCCAGGGAGGGGAGTTTCAGTTTCAGTTGCATTTGCTCTGTTTCAGTTGTTAGCTGTATTTTTTCTTGTTTTGCACTTTCATTTGACAGCAAGTCTTTGTTTCAACACTGTTTGTCAACAGTCGGAGATGTTATTTTAATTGGGAAAGAGCTCTGGTAAGGGAAGTTCTGGTTTTAGGCATGCACCACCTGTACTAAGCACCATCAATAATAAAAGATAAATCCCACCTATAAATCTTATATTATAAGATCCATTTTCTATTAATAGATGATACTTAACACCACCGTGCCTTATAGCAATGCTTTTTGGGCATTGTCTTTTGAAAATTTCATCTACTCCCCAATGGATTTGGCCTTGTCATGAACTTGTCATCGAATCAGATAACAATGATAGGCAAACTTCTGCCAAAGGATAGGCCCTCTTCGGAACCAATACCCTAATATAAATTGATTACGCAGTGCTAAAATAACTATTCCAAAAATAAAATGATTTCGAAAAATAAAATTTTCAAGTAATCTCGGAGAAAAATATACATGCACAGCGCTGGTTCCAACTAGTATATCTGAAAAAAGAGGAATACTACTTGTACCACTAAGAAAAATGAGGAAAACTAATAACCCCGACCCGGTTACATTAATGCTCAAATGGGTTACCACTTGTAGTTAATGGCTACTTTTATTTGTCTCATGCATGCTGGATAAAACATATCTAGAAACAAACCGGGTACAAGTTAGGAATTACCTCTTGCTTCGTTCCATCATGTTCACAAAACAACTTTTCAAACACTTTCATGTGTTCAGATTGTAGAGCCAATAACTATAAATAAGCCCCATCCTCCGTAACATCAGGAAAAACAGGGGAAAAAAAAAATCAGAAATACCTTTTAAGATAGTAAAAAAAGTATTATAAATAATAGGCTGATTTTGTATGACAAATCATTTACTTTTCTGAAACTTAACAGCGCAAATGAGTCCAAATGTGAGTGGGCTGTGTTGACCCAATCCAATACAAAATCAGCTACAATTAGTAAGCCTGATTATTATTTGGAACCACGAAAATAGTGGCGCAAGATTAGAATGTTTTCATTCTCTTATTTAGAATGCCTTTCATTCTAAAGATGAGTTGAGATTCAATTATTCAGAGCTCAATTTTGTGGTCATTGCTTGATCCAGAGATTGTCTGGCACTGAACTTATGGTGGTGGGAGTGAAATTGAAGGTATCTTTTGACTATAGTTAAGTCTCACGTTCTTTCCGTTCTATTGACGGGCCTAGATATTTTCCGTAGATGAGGAAGGGGGACAAAAATAAATTACATCAATAATCATCAAGATGATTGGGTGGTGAAACGATGTCGGTTTCGGCTCAAATTTGACGTGGAGAATTCTTGTGGCGAGCTCTTCCAATCTACCGGACTTAATTTCTCATTTAGCCTCTCTTTAGTACTCTATTGAGTACTACTATTTTGGTGAGACCTAAGCTTTTCTTTAGTGTTATTGTTGTTATCCATCTTTAATGATGATGTCTATATTATTAGTGAACTAAGAATAGTATTTCTTGATGATATTATTGTTGTGAGCCTCTAGTTTGATTCTAGAGAGAAACTTTGTAATCCCATTGTTAATATAGTGGACGAAATTTAAGTGGTTAATGGTCTCGTGGTTTTTACTCTCAATTTGAGAGGTTTTCCACGCTAAAAATTGGTGGTGTTTCATTTGTGGTTGATTATTTTGATTAATTGGTGCATTGGTTGTTTGACTTTGTTGGCATTTTATTTGAGATC